CCAGTGAGTTTTGACCCGCTGAACTGCAGCTAACAGTCAGCTGAAGTGGCTGCAGTACTGCACTCTAACCACTGCGCCACCTCGGCTCCATACATTACTCATGTGACTGACTCAACTTGCTCTCATTCTAAACTGGATTTTGGATGCCATCATGTTAAATTTCAGCTGTTACATAGTTCTGTGATATTCATTAAATAGTACATGATTAGCATCCATATGACTAATTAAATCATATAAAACTATTGTGAAGAAGGGAATTGCCAAACCTTAGCAGTTAGAGGAATGATTGGCAGCAAACAGAATTAAGAGAATGAGAATATTCCTACCACTAAGACTAGTATTTATGTGTACAGGTCCTGCAGACTGAAACATAGAAGAAAATCTGCAAACTTACTCTTTAAGCAAAGTTGGCATGTTATGATACTCTAAGCAAAGTTGGCATGTTATGATGAATTTTTGTTATCTCAAATAGATAACACAACATCATGGTCAATGGAAGAAAAATGTAATTGTCCCTGTACCTATTCCCTCCATTTTCTTACTATAGTTATTAAGCAATGCTTTACTGAATTTTCAGATTTTCAAAATCTTACACTTATTAATTCTGTGTTACTCCAGGTATTTCAAATTACAGAACTGTAAAACTAGGAAGGGTCATTTAGTACATCCCTTTTCTGCTACAATACAGATTAAGGAATCCCTGACAGACGATTATTTAATCTTTGCTTAAACACAACCAGTGAAGTAGAATCTTTCTTCAGTAACTGGTTTCTTTAGCTAGGATAGCTAAAGGCTAGGATTTTTTCTTCTACCATGATTCCCTGAAAATAAGACCTCCCCTGATAATAAGCCCAATTGGGATTTTGAGCACATGCACTAAAATAAGCCCTCCACGAAAATAAACCCACCCTGAAAATATTTAAACACATGTGCAGCCGGTCCCCGCCCTTTCCTCTGGTTGGTTGCCGCATGAACAACATGAGGTACTTCAAGACATGGGAAAGATTTTATGATTGGCTAGAGAAAGCAAGCTAGAAAAGAAAGTAGGGAGAAGATAAAGTACCAAGATGATGCACTATTACATGGAAAGGGGGGGAGAAGGGAAAACAGAAAAGAGAATATTAAATATATAAGTATATATTCAAGACTGACATATAAAGGGAGGGGGGAAATATAACTAGAGTAGACTAGTGAAGGTAAGGGAATAAGAAATTATACTAAATTATATCTATGTTGGCGGAAATTCCATCCCAAGGAAACATAAACTCAGTTTTGAAATATACACCAACAACCATAGAAAAAGAAAGAGAGAAAGGAGGAGAGAATGAAAGGAAGATGGAGGAAAGAAGAAAGAGGTAAGGAGAGGAGGATGGAAGGGAGAGAAAGAGGAGGAGAGAGGGTAGGAAGGGGAAGAGGAAGAGGAAGAGTAGGAGTAGGAGAAAGGTAAGGGAAGAAGGAGGGGAAAGGAGAGGAGGAAGGAAGAAAGGAGAGAAGGGAGGGAGGGAGAAAAGAAAGGGAAAATAAGGTGGTGTTACAACAGAAGGAAGGGATGGTAAATAAAGCAACCCAAACTGTACATTATAACCAGAGGTGGGTTCCTACCAGTTCGCACCTATTCAGTAGAACCGGTTTGTCAAATCTACCAAACCGGTTAGAAGAGGTTCCACCAGTGGACCCGGAAAGCAAGCCACACCTACAGAAGAGGTTCCAAAATTTTTTGAAACCCACCATTTTTTGAAACCCA